TTCATATTGATAATATTTGTTTATATACATATTATGCCTTTGATCGGTCAATTGAATTATAAACAGAACACCAGTACCAATATAAATAAAGTCTAGACATTGTAGTTTTGTGGAATTACATCATTTGATGTACGAGAATTTTTTTTTTTTTGTTATCATTAATTCCAGGAGAATTACATCATATGATATATACGAAAAAATTTTCTTTATTCTAATTAATTCCAGGAGAATTACGTCGTACGATATATGCGAAAATTTTTTATTTGTACTTTTTTTTTTTTGTTTCTCATTAATTTCAAGAGAATGTTCGATTTGATTTGCGCAATACAAATTTGTGAAATTTCATAAAAATAAAATATTTAGAATTAAGTAAAATTCGGTCATTTCTAAAATTAACGCACTTGGCTAGTAATCATATTACATGAACCATTATTATCTATCAGCATTCAAAACTCCTTTAAGTAATTTTCAGTATATTATTAAATTCCTTTTAGGATTGTTTTCGGTACAAAAGTAAATCCGTGGTTTAAAGAAAAAATGTAATACGTAGCTATTACATGCACAGATGTAACAACTCTTTAGTTAGCCAATGATACGCTTTTATTTCTATGCATTATATTACAAAAAATTTATAGGTTGTGCTAAGTAATCTGTTAAAAATAATTGTGTACGTAACTGCCTGTTACAAATAGGCTTATCCTATATTTATATCTATTATCTTATATGCTATGTTTATTCTATTTATTTATCTTATCATTATCTAATATGCTTATTATATCTATGTTTAATAACATCTGCATTTAAAGACATTCGATAGAATATGGATATTATAACATATGTATACATGACACTTCCATAAGTACCCGTCCTTATGACCAGGTATTTTTGTGCCTTTGTGTGTATGTACAATTAAGGATAGCCAATTGAAAAATACAAATGCACAATAACTCAGTGCTTTTGTTTGAAAATTGCAATGACGAAAAGTTTCATCACATATTGGTCTGACAAAGCTTTTAATAATTGCCGAAATTTTTGATAAATAAATTCAGCCAATAAAATTTTTTATCCTGCAGCTTATTATGATTCGTCTGCCCAATAAATTTATTATTCGGCAGAAACTACATAGTTGCCGAATAATAAAATTGTTATTGGGCAGACTATCGTCATAAGTTACCGGATAAATCCGTTATCAATCATGCAGATGCCTTATAACTTAATTATTTGGTCAAATGATTTAAAGTCAGCCTAAGAAGTTGAATTCCTTCGGAATTCAATTTCTTAGTCTGATTTTAAATCTTTGACCAAATAAACCAGTTATCAGGCAGTGCCTGCCTGATAACTATTAAAAATACAGTCGATTCTCTTTCAACGAGCTTCTTTACACGAACTTTGAGTATGCTAAAACTTAATTTTCAAAATTACTGTTTGTTCATAGTAAGTTTTATCGGTCTATATGTAAATGTATATATATATTTTTTTTTTTAAAAAAAAAAAGTCAACTGTTCAAAAATTAACGAGCCTATACGATAGTTAATTTTTAGTCTTATATGGAATATGAAGCCGGGAATTTTTTTTCAATTTCAGACTCCAGAAGGCTAAGCCTTCATCGGGTAATATTCGTGTCAGAAATGTTAGAAAAAAGAAAGAAAAAGTTAGAAATGAATGGTAAGAATAATTCAAATAAAAATTAATAAGTTTTGTTTTTCGTCATAGGTTCGTCAGTTCATTAATATGAAATTGCTTGACATATCAGAATTACTTGTGAGTGTTGAATATGGTATAGTTCTAAATCACAAATAGCTTAATAAATTTAAAGCTATAATAAAGATCAAAAATTGAAACTTTTATAAATACTAACCTTAATACTTAAAATATGTTAAATAAACAATAAATCTGCAATTAAAAATTGGAACTGTTCTTGCTCAACACATCTTACTCAATTAAATAGCTAGTAATCGTAATGGTGCTCATTTTTTATGATAAAATTTAATTAGATCTTTGCTAAATATCAATAAGACAAATAATAATGTAATGGATGTATTCTCAAGCGTTGCAATAATTGAAATACTAATTTCGATTGATAATTGTGCAAATACTTTATTACTATTATAAATTATTGCTTTTACAAAACTGTAATAAAAACAACCCAATATAAGGACAAAAACCTATGTCAGAAATTCCATCTGTTTTGTCTTTTTCAGACTTCACCAAACTAGCTGACTCGACTTTTTCTGGATCCTTTAATATAATATTTTTAGATTTTACTTCTAGCCTTGGCTCATTACATATTGTGATGGAATGCTTGTATTTAGTGCCATATAAATGAAGATCAGAATATGATAACTATGACCATTCGTGAAATTTCAGTTTCATGCCTTTTTTTACTCATAGTGAAAATTTTTAAAATAAGTCCTAGTTACGATTTCGAAGATTCATAATGGTAAAGGAGTAAGGTGTTTGAACGAATAAATATTGGCGATCCGATGTTAATTTTTTACATTTATTGAATAGGTTTTTGTATTTTTCTTTTTTTTTCGGATTTTTTATCGAGTCGTTTAAACGATTAATGAAAAATTTTAGCCAATCAACGCAACTCTGTGATAAAAAAGATGTTTAGACATTCGCTAATTAAATTTTCTCTATGACGTATTTGACGTATTAAACTATTGTAGCTCTACATCATTTATTGGAATATTAAATAAAAATTGCTTCCCGGACTATTCCGACCAATAAATAAAGAGCTTGCATATTTGAATTTAAATTTTATAAATTTTTATTAAAAATTAAAAAATAGCAATATTGATTTAGGTCACATCTTTACTGTCTTACTGCATTATGAGAAAATCGACAATACTACGCTGCACAAATGTGGATTAAAGAGGCAATAATTATGCTTTTTACAATTGTGTCACGTAAACTTAATTTTAGTGGTACTTAAAATTATGAAATCGGAAAATAATTTCTTGAAATGATTTCAATTTGTAATAATTGTAATAGAGATTTTATCGGATATCCAGAACCGTTTTGTAGAAGAAATTTTACTTCCAGACCCGAGAAGAAATGTGAAAACCAAGTCATTCATGAATTTCTTCAGGAAATTCAATTAAATTCGAAATATTGTAATAATTTTATTGATTGGGTCCCGAATTCTGATGTGAATTATATAAAATCACATAATAGAACCGAAAATTCAGAAATATTTCTGGGAATTTGGAAGCCAGTATCAAGTCTAAATATAGTTCTTAAAGTTTTACGAATTTCATAAAATATTAGTGATAAAGAACATAGGTCCCTTAATGAGGTAAGAAATATTCTGATTGTTTCTATACGTATAAGCATTTTAAATTATTTATAATTTAAAACGCCCAATTATTAACATTATTTATAATTTAAAACGCCCAATTATTATTAACATTATTTATAATTTAAAACGCCCAATTATTACCATTATTTATAGTTCAAAATACATCATCAATGCCTTGGAAAATGTGCTATACCTTTCTATGGATTAACATTGTATCCTGAAACTCGAGATTACGCAATGATAATGAAGCGTGCTGTTCATGGTGATTTGTGCAAATACGTGCATACTCATAAGTATAAGCTTTCATGGACAAAAAGAATAAAAATACTTGTCAATATTGCAAAAGCTTTAGAATACCTTCATAGCCAAGATTTGGTCCATCATGACCTTCATTGTAAAAACATTCTTGTTGATGAAGATGATAAGATATTTATTTGTGATTTTGGGCTTTCTCATAATTCAAATTCACAATCAGGTAATTTTTATTATTTATAATAACTTTCAATAAAGCGGATACCTAATATAGTAAAAAAAGATTCATAGTAATAAGATATAATAAAATTATGCTTGATATACTGAATCTACCCGTGTCATTGTGCATGCATACTTTTTAATCAAAAATTTATTTCATCATTATTTATTATTTTGTCAGATACGGGCGAAATTGTAGGTGTTTTACCTTATATTGCACCTGAGGTTCTCCGTGGTGGACAATATACAAAAAAATCAGACATTTATAGCTTAGGTATAATTATGTGGGAATTGACTTCTTTCACTCGCCCATTCGATAAAGAAGATCATGATGTTTATTTGGCTCTTAAGGTTGCAGACGGTTGTCGTCCTGAAATCACGAATGATACTCCAAAACCTTATAAAGATTTGATGGAAGAATGTTGGAATAATGTTCCATCAAAAAGACCAAAACCATCAGAGTTATTACAAAGATTTAGTGATATGCATATACAAGAGAATATCGAAATTGTTCAAAGATTTAGTGATATGCATATGCAAGAGAATGTCGAAATTGTTCAAAGTTTTAGATCTAATGACGAACAAGGTAAGTATCATATTTTACCAAAATTCAATGTTAAATAATAATATGGTAATGCCTTTTTGGGTTTTTTTTAGATACCTCAAATGTTATTTCTGTTGCTGATAGTTCAGATATAGGTAATTAATAATATTATTATTGCTGATTACATATTTTAGTTTCATAATATGATTTATTATATTATATGGTAGATAATCAAACAAGACAGTATGCTATTGACTTATGTGATTCTGATAGGCATGAACAAGAATCAATACAAAACAACGGTAAATAGTTTTATTAATTAATTTAATATCAATTATTGTAAATGCATATTTTAATTTAACTCATTGAATTTGCAACCTATTTTTCATTAATTGCTAGAATATACCGTTTGGCAATCATTAGAACTTTTATTAGATGATTTTTTTCATAGCATGCCAACTAGATCATTTTTGGTAGAACATTTATTGCGTTCAACATTCTTTGCCTTATCTGGTAACTTAATCTTTTGGAAACTTATATAAAGAAAAAAGTCAATTACTAATTAAAAAATATTGTATTGATAGGTGATACATCAGATATATATGACCAAGTATCATCTCTTTTGGATCTATTTAACCATTTTGGTGCAACAGATGAAATCCCCAATTTAGATGTGCAAAACGAAGAATTTTAGAGCAAATAAACATTATAGAAAGCAACTTACTATTGAATATGTGGATTCAACTTCTCAATAACTATTTACCCTACAGTTACGGTTCGATGAAATAAAACGAATCCACATGCTTAATTTAATTATTCGCCGATATTATTTTGCCATTATTTTGTCAATCCTACCTCTGAAGTTAATCTCTTTCTCTAGCATTATATTCTTACAGTTGTTTTTCAAGTGTATAAATTCACTCTAAAAAAACTTTCCGTGTATTCTTTTGTTCTATTTAGTGCTTTGCTTATTAAAATAATTTTTTTTATTGAATCGTATAAGGTTTTTCGGCTTTTGTTTAGTTTTAGTTATTTAGGAGTACTTTTATATTCATAGACAGAAGTTTGTCTGATTGGCTAGTTTTTTAGATCGATTTGTAAATCTACACGTGATTATTACCCAATCAA